TCTTAATATTTCAAACTATAAGAGCAAGTTCTCTAGTAGTTTAAAAAGATGCAATCTGATTCTAATTTGTTTGTGATAGCATGATGGTTTAGTTTTGTTTCAACCATCTATTAGTCATCAAACAATATGAACCTTTTTCCAGCTAGTCATCTTGATCGTGTTTTGGAAGTTTGTGTGTTGTAAATGTCTGTTATTTCGTTCCTTTCAGTCCTTTGTATGTTTTGTAGTTATTACTTTTAAGGTTCTGCACCATGGGATTAATCCCAGCATGATGAGCAATATCTTTCAGTCAATCACATATAAGTTTGCTTTAGTTGATTAATTTCTTGAATTTATAAGTTGGGATGGAGTATTTGGGTATTATATAAGCTTAAGGTAAGCTTATATAAGCTTAAAACATTAATCAGAGAAAATTTGAAAGGAAATTTGATTAAGGGTTGAGAAATGAATTCTTGATTTAAAGAGATTTTTGAAGTTCTAAAGATGGATTTGACTTGTCAAAGGATTAATTAAGAAGTCAGAGGTGATAGAATTCAATTTAAAACACATGGAAAATTTGATGAAATTCTTTGATTCAAGAATTATGGTGAATTATAAGATATGGTGAAGTGTTATAGTATTATAAGAAGGTTTAAATATGTATGGATAAGTTTTAAGGTATAAGGAGGGATTAATAAGTAGAATTTGGGGTTAAAACAAGACATTTTCGTGCTTAAAATGTAATTCTGGGTAGTGTGCATCGATGCATCTTCAAGGTGTATCGATGCACTCTCAAATAAATGAACATCGAATGCCATTAGTGCATCGATGCATAAGGAGTGCATCGATGCACCCCCTTAAGATTTAAACATCGAATGTAAATTGTGTACCGATGCATGGGTAGTGCATCGATGCACATGTTAAAGAATGCATCGATGCATTGTAATACGTACCGATGCACTTCAATGGGAAATGGAATAAATCGTTATTCAGTCTATGAAATGATAGATTATAGTATATCTATTGGATACTGATAGTATAAATACATGATTGTGTAGATATCAAGCACGGACAAGTTACGGAACGATTATCAAGTTAAGATTCGATCGAAAGAAAAGAAATCATAAAAGGGGATTGGAACTTAGTGAGGCCAAAGTGAGTGCATATTAGTTAGTTTATGGTGCATATTAGTTAGTTTATGGTGCTAAATGGAAACAAGACTTGTGACAAGTCTATTTCCTATGTTAAAATGCATGAATATATGATTATACGTATAGGAATGACATGAATTGTATGTATGTTTGATTATATGTGTTAACATGCTTTTGAATGTAATGATATGAGAAGTATGTGCTATGTGATGTATATATATGAACATATGGGAAACTGAACTATATGACTGCATGAGAAAGATATGAGCCATATGACATGTTATATGTGAACATGAGAAAACAAAGTATAAGATATGAGCTATGTGATCCTATGAGAATATGAAAAGAAACTATGTGACTACATGTATATGTGAAAGAAGCTATGAGCTTATATGACATGTGAAATGATAAAGTGAAAATGCCCATGTTATATGATACGAGAGCCATAGGTATAGTTGGCATGCCAAGAGTCGAGGGTCTACCTGGTCTTTCGGGAGATACAGTGATCCTTCGGGACTAAATTTCATAGCCCCTAGTGGGACCCCTTACGAGCTGTGGTGACAGCATAGTGCACAACCTCAATAGACTCATATATCTACAGTTCTCACAGGTGTACATTAGCTAATAAGAGATAACATTGAATACAATGTATGTGATATATATATGTGTTTTGTTACATGAATTATATGATATGATATATGTGTGTTAATGATTATTGTATATGTTATAATATATATGATATGAACATAATAGATCATATAAACAAGAGAATAGAAATATGAATGATAATGATAGATTAGAAGATAATTATATGCATGTGTGGATTTGATATATAAATGGATATATGTTTGGGTATGATGTGATAGCAGTAATTGTTCATGCATGATTACAAGTTATAGTTTTCATTATATGTTTATTGTCTCACTAAGTCATAGACTTAGCGTGTGATTGTTTCACACGTAGGTTACAGAAGTGAGAAGAGTAAAGAGCAATGTGGAGTAAGACAGGTCAGTTCTCCTTACCGAAGGTCAGATCAGAAAAAAAGTGAATAATATGTATTTTAATATATAAAGTTTTAGTTGGTATATATTCAATAATATATTGTATAAGCTCTGAATAGTTCTGTAAACGTTTTGAATAAGTTATATGTTATAGAAATTTTAAATTACTCACTATTTTATACAAGTAAATGTTTTGAAAAGTCAATGTGACACCTCGGACTCGGATCTGGGTCGGATACGGGTTGGGGGTGTTACGGAATCCTCTATTTGTGTTCTGCAAATGACTTGTAAAAATTTCCTGGTAAGCATTTGGATAAGGAGAAGATTTTGAATGTGGTGAGTTTGGAAAAAGATATGGATGGCTTCCATCCGCTAAAATATGGGGAATCTTTCCATGAGAGGAAGGGAACCACTGTTTCCTGCACCCCAAAAGGTTGCCTTGAGTTATTGATCCGATCTGGCGTGGAAATAGTGGGAAAGAAGGCAGTAGAGATTGGGAGAAGCAACATTGTTGGATTGCCTATATCGTTGCTACTGCAGGTAAAGATCTACTTTTTGCATACATTTGCATTTTTAAATTATGTTTCATAAATATATGAAGAGGAAAAAAGAAGTTGATATGCATATATTCACATTTTGAAAGTATGAGAGGTAAAAAGAAGTTGACAGGATGTATTGGGCAGTGAAAGGCTGAGTAAGCATCTTTCCCACATCGCTTTTCTTATTTGAATGATCAGAGATCAATCTATGTATTTTGTTTAACTAGATATGTAGTATCCACTACAAGGGATAGATAAAAATAATTTTAACCGATGAAAAGATAAAATAAATCTTTAAGTTCTATTTCAGCACGTTTTGCCAGTTTCTGTGTTGATGATATGTATAAATCTTTGCACTCTAAAACTCTGATGAGAGTATTTATATTTTACTCCTTTCAAAGAGGTACTTTCCTATACTTCTAATGGGTTTAAGATCTGGTTCTGTTTAACAGTATCCACTAGTTATTTGACTAAGTAGGCATATTTCATTTACATTGTTGGACAGAGACACCATGCAACGGTCACTATAGTACATGCTTGCACAAAGAATCCCGAGCAGATCACATGCAAAGCTGACATAGTAGTCACAGCTGCTGGAGCACCAAATCTGGTTCGCAACAGTTGGCTGAAACCAGGTGCAATTGTTATCGATGTTGGGACATGCCCAATTGAGGTAAAGTTGCTACTGTTTCATTGATTTGCTTTACTTTAATCCATTTTCACTGCAGAAACTGAATGGCAAAACATTGGGGAAGGTAGTTATGATAAGGAAACTAGCGAAAAAGAGAGAAAACTATCATTGCATTTCACCCGAATCACAATTCTCTTTCCTTCTCAATATTGCATGTTAAAACAAATTCTCTATTCCAATGGTTATGATATCATGAAATTGTGGTCTTAAATTGATTGATGGATGAGCACCGCAGGACCCCAGCGCCGAGTATGGATACCGTCTCGTAGGAGACGTCTGCTTCGAAGAAGCATTGGGGATAGCATCCGCGGTTACTCCGATACCTGAAGGAGTTGGACCTATGACAATTGCCATGCTCCTCTGCAACACTCTCGATTCTGCCAAACGGCTGTACGGCTTTACTTGAACCGTTAGATCCATGCCAAAAAGTTTTGCATTGCGTACCTGAACTTTTCCTGTTAACCAGTAGCTCTCTCTGTCCCAATGGTTTTCAATGGATCTCTATTTGTTGAATATCTACAAAGCATATATCAATTAAAAGTTAAAACCATAACCTTATGCTATAAAAGATGCATTAACATCTTCTCTAATTTCATCTTTTTGTAAACTTTGTTTCATCCTTCTAACCACTAAATTTATTATTTAATTTTAGGATAAATTATACGTTTAATATCTAAATTATCAGTTTTGTTCTGTTTTAGTACTTAAATTTTATATAATTATTTATAATAATTCTTAATTAGCAGTGTAAATAACTATAAGAGTTTTGTGTCATATGTGAAGATATTTATATAATTATTAATTCTGAGTATAAATTTTTACTGTGCATAACATCCTCTAATTTGATATTGCATGTGTCATGTGAATTTAAATGATAAAAATTAGTTGACATTTCTCTGAAAATAAAATACTTGATATAGTTAAATTATTTAATAAAATATAGATTTTAAATGATAATATATTTAAAAGAAATAAAATATAAAATATATTCCAATAAGTGATAAATAACTTTTTATCTATGCATTTTTTCAAATAAAGGTTTCTATCTATATTTAGGAGGATATTTTAAATACTTTTTATTTATTTTAAACATTTCATTTTTCAAAACTGACCCTATCAAACAATATATTTATATATAATTCATAATTTATTTATTTTTGATTATATAATTATTAATTTATTATAATAATGATTTTATCTTTTTATACTTTACATAACTTTTAAAAATATTAATCTAAGGATTTATTTTGTAATTAATATATCTTTTAGATAATATGCCTATTCAAAAATTTTAACTTATTGACAAAGTACACATTTTGTACACAGTAAATGTAAACTCTAAAAATATAATATTCTTTTCTTGTCACTAAAACCATTCACTAAATTCAATAACTAATATAATTTATATATGCTTATCCTCTAATTATTATTAGTATATAAAATTTAAACACAGTAAAGATAAATAAATAAGTATTTTTTTTTTACAATTTTTAGATTAATTTAAAATAAATATAAGATAATACATAAATAAACATCCTTTACAATTTGAATAAGCCCAAGAGGGAAAGATAGAGTATTAAATTATCTTCCTTTTTGTTTCTTCTTATCTCAGCATCCTTTTCAGTGCACCAAACAAACACCGACCCCACTCCAAAACCAACCGTCTCAACAAGCATCGCTTGCTCCAGGTGCCCACCTCCCTTCTCTCTTTTACCTTTTCTTTCTCTATTTAATCAGTTTTTTTTCTTCAACCTTTTCTTCTTCTGCAGAAAATCATTTCGAGCCTTTGATCATATGACGAGAGGTACATACGGAGGTTATATATATATATATATATATATTGGTTATCCATTTCTCTTTTTTGACTGGAAATTGACGTTATCGTAAAAAAATGTTCAGAATTATAGGCTTTTCGTCGTTTAAAATTGATTCCTACATGTGATATTTGGAGATTTATATAATTCTCGTGGGATCGTTATTTTTAGATTATAGTAATGACGGTGTGAGTCTTCTTTTTATCTTCGAACGTACAGGTGACCTTGGTTTTTCCCACGGAAAGAATTTTTTGCTGAAGTTTGTGTTTAATATCCTTGTGGGCAGCTTGTGACATGTTTCAGTATAAATCCACGAGTCCATCATAAGATGCGGAATCTGATATTTTAGAAATGCAATTATGATGAACTCGATTTGTTGCTGACATCTTTTTATTTGGTTCACAAACTACATTTTCTGGTGTTTTCAAATAATTGATTTTTTGCCTCATAAATACTGTGTTCTTATAGCCAATGGTTGTTGAGAATTGTTATATGTGGGACAGTTCTTCTTCCTCTTGATAATCATGTCAGCTCGGTACTTATTCTTCTGCACTTTCATATTTGCAGGGTTAAGTGAAATGAATGTTTCCACTTTTGGTAATTGAATGGATAGTGTCATGGCCTGGTTTTTATGAGATATATTGATTACAAGATATTTCCACAATGGGGGTTGCTTGTTCTAGGAAAAGAGACCAACCGGCTGATGTGGATGATTTCCAGAGAGGGGTTTCTGGAAGATATTGCAAGAGTGGAAGTTCCAAGTGGTTAGCAACAACTTTTACTAGGCCTGTTCTAGAAAATCAAAGGGAAAAAAGGAAATGTCCATCACTTTTGGAATTATGCGCTTACAAAATACGGGAGGTATTGAATGCTTGCACCTTTTGTTTTTGGAATCCTTACTTCCTGCACCCAAACTGATCTTCTGAGTTTGGTTCATGAGCAGGACATAGTTAATTATGGTTCATTTTCTATGCTTCCAAGAGATCTAAGTCAACAGATCTTTAATGAACTGGTAAATTCCCACTGTTTGACTGATGTTTCTCTTGAAGCTTTTCGAGATTGTGCTCTTCAGGTAACAAGTTATAAATTGGGCAATCTGGATTTCAAATCTTGTCAAATATTTACTCAATTGTTGATCAGTTCAGTTGAACCATGATATCTTATCTTCTTTGCAAAAGGACCTTCACCTGGGGGGCTACCCCGGTGTTAATGACAATTGGATGGACGCTATCTCTACACAAGGACCATCCTTACTTTCGGTGGACCTCTCTGGTTCCGATATCTCTGATCCTGGATTGATATATCTCAAAGACTGCATGAACCTTCAAGATTTAAATTTAAATTACTGTGACCAGATTTCTGACCGTGGGCTAAAAAACATCAGTGGTACCTTTTTAATGCTCTATTATTCTGATATACTAAAATGCTAAAATTCCATAATAGGTAAAATTATTTAATAGCAAATAGTTGATTGCAACCTGTGATGCAACATGACCAGGCAAGTCTGGATTCTGACCCAAGGTTTTGACAAGTTGAATTTTATCTTTCTTAGCTGCTTTTCTGTTTATATTCTGCCCCCCTTCCTGGTTACACTTCTTCTCAGTTCAGTTCTTTTCTTCCTTCCAACTTCCTTGTTAAATTAATGTTCAGCAATTTTGCTTATCTTAGTAATTTCCAGCACGTGACATAAAATCTTTTAGGTCTCTCAAACTTGAAGAGTCTCACATTTCGGAGAAACAGTGCAATCACTGCACAAGGAATGATTGCCTTATCTGGCCTAGTAAACTTGTTGAATCTGGATCTAGAAAAGTGTCCTGGGATTCATGGGGGGCTTATTCACATAAAAGGTAACTTTCTACTTGTCTGATTGTATGGTATTTTATTTTTTGTTTTATTAACATGTATGGAGATGAGTTTATGATGGGTTTGGCCTTTCCCTTGACTAATTAGCCTATACTCGGATGCAGTTCCTTGGGATATTATGTTTTCATGTTAGTTATGCATGTTATGTCAGTATTATTTTACATTTGGCTGATGAGCCCTGTTAATCAATCTACAGGCATGACAAAGTTGGAATCTCTTAGTATTAAATGGTGTAATTGCATAACAGATGCTGATATGAAGCTTCTTTCAGGTGAATGTTACATTGCCTTTGTTACTATTTGGTAGTTTTTTTTCAAATTATTTATATTCTTTGGTTAAGCCTGTTCTCATTGTCTATGTCCCATAGATGTAATTGTGTAAATTCACTGTTTTTACCTTCCTTACGAAGAAACTTGTCTAGTCTTGACCTACAGTTGGCTTACATTCATATACATGCATGTGTGTACCTCTTCACAATCATCCCTGTTAAACAGAAATTTTATGTTCTCTCGACCTCCAGTTGGCTATGTTTATTTCCCAGTGATTCAACTCTGTTACCTTTGTCATAGGATTTAACTGTTCCAATATATCGTTTGGTAGATCAATGTGTTTTGAAAGTTTTTCCATTTCTCTTTTTGATTAACCTTGACCCTTGTCTATTATTTCCGCGGCCACTTCATCACATGTAGGTTAAGGACACTTAAAATTGACTGTATTCAATACCACTGCTCCCAAGTTTGCTAATGCTTTAATGTTGTGAATAATATGAATTAGTTAATTCATTTATGTTTCTTAGCTAACTTCTCTTATCATGATTTAGGGTTTGCAAACTTGAAGAGCCTACAGATTTCCTGCAGTAAGGTCACAGATTTTGGCATCACTTATTTAAAAGGTGCTTCGTCCTATTTCATTTGCTGTGATGCTTTATGCTATGTTTTTTTATGACATTTACTGATAGTTTGTTATGTTGGGATACTCTGATTTGGGGGAATTTTTATGAGTGTATTGCATGGTCATGCTGTTGGCTGTTATTGATTATTAAATTCCTATTTACCTGAACTTCTTTATGTTTCTAATCTGATTCAGGTCTACAAAGGCTTTCTGTTTTGAATTTGGAGGGCTGTCCAGTTACAGCTTCATGCTTTGATTCTCTTTCAGGTGTGTATCTTGTCATCCATACCACTAACCATTTCCTGTATTAGACGGCTTTATCAGGAGCTGCAAATTGCAGTTTTGTGTGTTCTGTTAAAATGTGATGTTTCATTTAAAACATCCATTCTCTTCCCTTTTTCGCTTCAGTATTTTGGTGCTTTTGATAGTAGCTCATGCATTTGGGTTTTAAAAATCTGTGCGGGGAACTCCTGATGGTGTTTCTTTATGATCTCTTTTATTTTCAACTTTATATTTTGTAATTCTGTAGAAATATTAAAAAATACGTGATATATTGTATAAAATCTATTTACTTTTTGTGGGTATTTTGACAATTAAACAGGGTATTAACTTTGCATTTTCTTTTTATTTTCATAGCTCTTGCATCTCTGTCATATTTGAATCTCAGCAGATGCAATTTATCGGATGATGGATGTGAGAAGCTTTCAAGTAAGTTTCATATTTACCCCATTTCATTTTTGTAGAGTTAAAGTTCTGAGATCCCTTTGACTTATGTGTATTTACTTTTGACAGACTTTGCTAATCTGAAGGCATTAAACTTGGGTTTCAATGACATCACTGATGCATGTTTGATTCACCTGAAAGGTTTTTTCTCTCTCTCTCTCTTCTTCAGTTGGATACTATAATAAACTATGTATTTTTGCTTCATATATATAGTCTCTACTATTTTGGAGATAGGATAATGAAGATGATATTGGTACTGAAATTTTTTATCTGAGTATTGAGATTATTCTTTGGGAAACATATTTAAGAATCTTGTGATAATATTTTTAAAATTCTTTCGTAATTTTTTTATGGGTGCTACAGCTCTTTTTTTGAATACTTATTCAGGTTTGACAACTTTGGAGAGCTTGAACTTGGATTCATGTAGAATTGGTGATGATGGGTTGGTTCACTTGACAGGTTATTCGCTCAAACTACAATAACCTTCGATAAATATTTCCTTTTTGTTCTGATTTAGGGAAAAATCTGTTTTCAGCCGATGGAGGATCATAGAAACATGCAGATATGTGAACAGATAAAGGAAATATCACAACCTCCCAAACAATCCACCCACTCACCCTCACCCCCACCCCCCACCCCCCAAAAAAAAGGGGGAAAATGGAGGAACACAAGAGACAACATAAAGTTGTAGTTTCCTTCAGAATATATCAGAAATTATTTTCTCTAGCTAGTGGAGTAATTTTTAAGTTTATTTTATCTAGCACAAAATTGTTGGAGTTGCGCTCAAAATATATTGGAAATCATTTTCTCTCGATGGTGGAATGAGAGAGAACACAAGAGAGAGAGAGAGAACATAAAGTTGTTTGTAGCTTCCCTCACAAGATATTGGAGAGTATTTTCTCTACCTAGTTGAAGAAGTTTATAAATTTTCTTAAGGAATATATTGCTATACCGAATTTATTGGAATAATAATCTTGAATTTTTGGATTTCTTTTTATGAGATTTCCTTGTAAGTTACCGTTGCATTAGATATATGTGATGAGGATGCTGCCAATTTTAGTTGATATGAATCAGTATTTCCATTGGAAGCCGAATTAATCTCGGTATATGGTTTTGAAGAAAATTAAGTGCTTCAAAATTTAGAATTGCTTCACTTTTTAAGTAGAAATAATTTAACTAGATGTTCCCCACCTTTTCTTGTTGTCTTCTGTTGGTTCCATTCCACTTTTAGTATACTAATTTCATTAAATTTAATAGTTCATTTCATTATATTTAATAGTTCACTCTTGATAAAGCTGCTGTTGAACACCCCAAAAAAAAGAGCTGATGTTTCTCTTGTTTGTTTAGGTCTTCAAAATTTGAAATGTTTGGAGTTGTCTGATACTAATGTTGGAAGCAATGGCCTTCACCATCTTTCTGGTTAGACATCCACCTTTTTCTTAATTTGACATAATTTATAGCTCAGTTTTGTTGGTAAAATGCTTTTATAACTCTTGTGTTTCCATCATTTGAGATGATTCTCTGTTGCCACTTGCTTCCATTTGATATCCTTCTTTGGAATCTTTCTTGTAGCTTAGGAGATTTTCCTTTCTGATATGGGTTTATCTGGTGTATGAAACTTTTATATATTAGGAGCCTTACGGTTTCAAGTTGCTAAGATCCTAAAGGAGTTCGGTGATGATGAACCAATTAAAATCAGGTGGAACAAGCACCTCAGGGCTATTGTATGATGATGAGTTCTTGCAGCCTGAGAGGTGTTTTGATCACATAATTACGAGTGTGCCACCTGAAAGGAAGCACTTGTGCAATAGGGAAAGACTAAAAAGTTGACTTCATAACAATCTCGTATGTGAGCTTCCATTCCATGCCATCTAGGACTTCCCAGGAATAATGCAAACCCAAGAATTCGGCCAGCCACATTACAGGATTACCTCTATTACGTACTATTCTAACTGCGTTGAAATTCATATTTGTAACATATTACATAGATGCTAGAGAGAGTGAGCAAGAAGTGATATAGTGGAATGCTATGGCATTGAAGTATTGGAGGAATAAAGAACGTGGTAATGGAGTATTGGAAGAATGGAGGGGAGCAACGAAATCCTGGAAGCATGGGGTGCTGGTTCGAGTGCTATTGTCAGTGAGAGCTGATATAAGGTGCATTAGTGCAAGGGATGCTTTATCAGGGAGTATTGTCACTGTCATCAAAGCTGTTATTGGAGAGCAGTTCCTAATCATGTTGTCCTTGTAAGACATGTTAATTGCAGAAAAACGAACAGCTAAAATTTGTTTTAATGCTTAACCTAGAGAAAGTAGATAAATGAAATTTTAATTTTTAAGCTGTGAGAGAGCAGTCACCTTGTTCGCTTATTTAGGGAACTAAATCACTTATTATGCATATTGAGAAGGGTACATGCTTGAACAATCTAGTGGTTCTTATACACGATCATTCATTTTTTGATTGGTTTACGCTTTGTAGGTTTGCATAAGCTGGAGAGTATAAACCTGTCATTTACTGTTGTTACTGATGGCGGATTAAGAAAATTGTCTGGACTTTCATCACTTAAATCTCTTAATCTCGATGCTTGTCAAATCACAGATGCTGGACTTGCAGCCCTTACAAGTAAGACTGTCCAAAACAATTGTCTAAAGCTCTGCATGCTTCTTCTTTCAATTTTTTGAGTAGGGTTTTTCGTCATTGATTATGAAGTAACGTATTCATATTTCTGGCCAACAATTGTCAGAAAACCATTCAACAAGAAACATACGTTTTATATTAAACTAAAAATCAGTGAAATGTATATATTATCTGTTCTTTGGGCTTTAACAAGCACTTTAGGATGCTATACCTTGGATCATGTGCATATCAGTTAGTACACTTAGTTTTCTAGGTTTATTGTACTACTATTATTTTTTCTCTCTTCTTGAGGCAGGTTTGACTGGATTAACTCATCTTGATCTTTTCGGAGCTCGTATCACTGATTCTGGGACAAACTACTTGCAATGTATGTTTTGCACTTAGTTTTGAATTCTTCTGATCTACGAGTTCACTTGATATGCTACCTTTTTGAGACCGAATTGGTTATGTATGTAATAGATTTCAAGAACTTGCGCTCCTTGGAGATATGCGGAGGACGATTGACAGATGCTGGTGTGAAGAATATTAAAGACCTTTCATCCTTGTCGCTGCTAAATCTTTCTCAGAACCATAACCTAACAGATAAAACATTGGAGATGATATCAGGTATCGTGTGAGTATAAAACTTTCTTATTTTCCTACCTCGGAGGGAGGTGGCTGAGAACGATAAAATGTAGGCACTATTATCGCAGACCATAGTCGTGGACCTGATACGTTTTGTGTACATTCCATTTAAATGCATTCAGGGTTGACAGGATTGGTCTCTCTGAATGTTTCGAATTCACGTGTCACGAGTGCTGGATTGCGACATTTAAAGCCACTGAAGAACTTAAGATCTATGAACTTGGAGTCTTGCAAGGTCACAGCAAATGACATGAGGAAGCTTCAGTCAGCGAGCCTCCCTAATCTGGTAAACTTCCGCCCTGAGTAATTCTTATGATGTGGCATGGTTATATCATAGTACTAAATTGTGGTCGCGGGGTCGTGGTTGTTGTTGTTACGACATGATTTGTTTCCTAAATATAATTATATTCCGAAATTATGGATATAATTGTGGTGTCATGGTGATCTTAAAAAAACGTTACGATGCAATCGTTACTTTGTATCGTTACTTTGTGTTGCATCCGTAATTTAGTACTACGCGATATATATCGTAGATGACTTTTATTATAGAGAACACTGCTATCTGTAAATGATAAAGTTAAAGCAGATGTTGGACAGAATTTAATAACTATTAAATTATATTGGAAATTGTTTGGTATATTAGTAAAAATTCAGTGTTGAATGTAACTATATTGCTTGATAAGAATAAATAATGATTTTCTTGGGAATAACTTGTGTTATAATTTTTATCATATTAATATTTTATTTATTTTTTAGAAAAATTAAATTAAATATAATAATTTAAAATAATTTATTCTAATTATATTATAACCACTTATCATAATCATAGTCATTCAACAGAGAACCAGTCCCTAGACTCTATTCTCAACTTCCATTGCCACCATATCAGCTTTGACTGAACCTTTGCAATCCCCGAGCTTAACCACTCGGACCGAATATTACTCAAGTCTACCTACTACCAACACCATCTTCATCGCCCATATTCATCCTCCACCATCGCTATCGAAGCCTCAGCCTCCATCATCAACAATCATGAATTATCGTTCCCTCTAAACAACCATCTTCCTCGAACTACTACTCTAAACCTTCAACCACCAGTCTCAAGACCCTTTTACCCAAATCCGTATATCACCTGAACAAATTTGATGACTAATCTAACCTATAAGCTGCAAATAATGGAAGGCAATCATACTAAAAACTTTGTTCTAATTTATAAGGTGATGATACATTGTGAACAAAATGTCATACCAAAGTACAAATGAGCATTAAGCTCAACAAGCAACCTTATTTGGGATAGGCTCAGGAAGTGCAGTCAGATTTGTACCGGACATGATCATATACCTAGTGGCTAATGTTAAGGGCTGCTTTAGACACCATAATTCGTGATGCAAACCGGCATGCCACCACTTTTGTTCCCGGATTTTCAATGGCCTGAACCTTGAGGGAGACGGAATGAACCAGAAGCGTATAGCATCTGATAAACTGGTCGTATTCTAATTGTTAGAAACAAGCCCAAAATGCTGCCTAGACTGCAGATGCCGGCTAAAACGAAGAAGGTGAGACGGAAGCATTCGGGTCCCAAGCAGATGGAACTTCCTTGCTTAGCAGCTTCAGCATCGTAAACAGAACCGGCGAGCAAACCTGAAAAAAGAAGTGCACCTACAGGGTTGCCTATCATCATAAAGTTATAAATGATACCAAAATGTTTCAAGCCGAAAAGTTCAGATGCCGTTGGAACCATGAGACAATATTGAAATCCGAGGCAGATGCCAAGCAAAGCAGTAGAAATATAGAGGGTACCGCTGAAAGCCAATGCATACATAACAAATGCTAAAACCATAACCACTAGCGTGCAGGCCATCCAAAATGTACGAGGAATGCTTCTCGTCCTGCGAGCACACAAACTAACTCTTAGAATAGTGCTTGGCACAAACAAGGGTAAATTTTAATAAAACTATTGAACTATTATCGCCCCGGAAAATACATCGTTCGGAGTCTGTGACCGGAACAAATTTTGGATAAAATCACTATAGGAACATCTCCAATTTCCAACTACCAACCCAAGAACCAGTGCCTTCTAAGCAAAACATGCATGGATAGGGATGCATGCTCAAGAATGACAATAAGAAATAAGAGATTATAGCAGTTATCACACTGGTTTTTAATGATTACAGAAAACAGATAGAAGATAATTACATCTTAACTGTACAAGAGATGGTGAATCAGAATTTTGTAATGAGGACTAACCTGACAAAGTGTTCTGAAAGAGCACTCGAGCCAAGACGACCGATGAAATTGCAGAAGCTAAAAAGGGAGAGCAGTATTGTTGTATTATCTACGCCAAATGCAATTCCGATTTGAGCCAAGTTATTGGTAACGGTAACACCAGAACCAACTCCAAGAAAATATACAACCCAAAGAAGCCAAAAATCAGCCTTGATAAAAGCTTCATGAAGCTTGAAGTCCTCCCCCCTCCTGGGTCTTCTTTTCTTCTTCACTGCCCCTTCTCCCACAGCAAGAAGAGTTTCCACATCCGAGGCGTATTCACTTTCGAAGAAACTTCCAAGATTTGATGCTGATGAAGATGGTGACAACAAAGGATCAGAGTGAGTTGGACCGCCTTCTCCCTCGGTCAAATTCTCTGTTGAACCTGCCAGGGGTGTAAGTGTGCCTGCATTTGCTCGAGTAAGTGTCATCTTGACTGGAATTCCGAGAGGGGCAATCAAGAAGATAAATACGATAGCAAGTAGCACATAAGAAAAAGCATCACTTAAAGAAACTATGTCATATATAACTGTTATTATGATAAGATAGATGGCAAGCAAGACACTAGCAACTTGGGTAAAAACAAAGTGGACATGAACCGAAGAGTCTTCTCCGGAAGGAGGAGTGCAAGGGCGAACAAAGTACATCATGGCCAAACATAACACTGGAATTCCGAGAGTAAGGAACAGCAGTAGTTTCGAAGCACTTCGTTCAAGCAGCGAGCTGTACAATACGGTATATACAGCAGCACTGATCCCGGAATATCCTTTGAGGATGCCAGAAACAGTACCCCTACTGAGGGGAAAATTTCTCATGTTAGTTACCAGAACTGCCGTGCTAAACCATGCATTACTATTAGAGCCGACCACAAGCGCGATCCATAACTGTCATGGCATGGAACATGGGTGTAGTAAGTACATAAAACTGCTAAGAAGCTCACTTAAAGAAAATTATACTGTCACTTCGATGTGTTCGTCTCCATCAATAACCTCACATCTCTTCACAGTCCAAAAGAGACTGGGAATAAGGAACACAAATCTCATTTGATAAGATGCCCTATGAGTATGAGATGCTTACCCGGTAGCAACAGAGCTATCTTTAACTTTTTAGCACATAAAGTATGTATGAAGAGAATGAATAAATAGCCAGTGAAATAATTTACCAATTACAGGTTTGGAAATGCTTCAATAAAGACATAAGAAACAACAATAAATTGCTTGGAGAAAAAAAAAATGAAACTGATCAACTGAGAGCCTAATCCCAACATAACCAGACAAGAGAAGTATGAGATTCACATGAATTAAGATCGAAACTCGAACAAATATGAATGTTACAGAAAGAACACTTAAAAAAGATGCATAATACAGAATCAGAAACCATGAATCTACGAGTTCTGGAAACTGGTAAGAAGCCTTAGGCTGCTTTTTTCCAGACATAACTTGATCAAATTGGCACACAGAAACTGTAGCACCAAATCTTATTACCGATCAAGTCGAAGTTTTAGATTAATATCTCACTGGAAGAAATCTTAAACAAGGAAAATAATCAAAACCAAAGGTCCTGCATAGTACCGGGCAAATTCAAGTTATGAAGTAACTCTTATGGTTGGACAGATTCAAGGCCTTCCATGAGCTATTAAGATTAGACCTATTTTTTTTATCAAAAAAAATGATTAGACCTATTTGTTGTCATCATTCATGACTAATACCGCGTCTAAACAATCTCCAAAGGATATAGAAAAAGCAGATGATATTCCCTATATTACACCCATCCCATCCCACTTTAGCTGGTGCAATCACATCACACCACATACAAAACCATTGTTGACTTTGCTGAGGACCTTACACTGATGTTCAAAAAGATAAGCCCTGTGCTTAAAGCATCAAGACAAAGATAAAACTCACTTCATCTGGTTCAACTACACCCCATACAACCTTGAAGAATCTAATTCTCGGCATATACATAACCAATTTCAGTAACAAGAACAACACATAACATATATAGCTTTATATATATAAAAAAACTGATAGCTAAATAAACTCATACAATTGAAATGATCACTCACCAGCCAGTAAGGAAGAGCATGAATAGTTTGGGTAACAGCAAGCCAGATAACACCATATCCCAAGAAACAGGCGAAGACCCCAACAAGAAGCACAGTCCAAGGAGGGAAACGATTACTGGCGATACCAGGGAGGAGCCCGACACTCTCTCCGATATCATTAGCGACCCCTAAGAAGGTGAGCTGTTGCTGGTTGAACCCCAAAACTGATTTGAGAGCAGAAGAATAGAGTGGGAAGTTGGAGCCGTTCCCTGCTGATATCTGAACCCATACAGCAGCTGCCAACCCAACCCATGGTGGCCTGCTCCCCGCTTTCAGCTTCAGTTTTGTCATTCGTGCTGTGTGCTTAGAGGAACTTGTTTTGCTTCTTTGTTGATGTAGTTGGTAGGGACAATTTTCATATACAAACACAGAACTTAGGCCTGTTAATGGAATTTATTAGTGCTGCCAACTTTTGTTTTTAGAGTAAATTACTCAATTCTTCACTAAACTTTATTTTCTCTTCTATTTTACTCATTATACTTTTAATTTTTCTATTTTTATCACTAAACTTTACAGATTAAATCATTTTGCTCACTCTGCCGTTAGTTCTCTAACGTTGTGATGATAATTTATTTTATTATTATTATTTAATATAAAATAATTAAAAATATAAAGGGTAGATTACACCGTTCCTCATTGAACTTTACCCTCTCTTCTATTTTGCTCACCCAACTATAAAGAAGAGGATTCGAAACGATATCGTTTTGGTGTACATTTGAGTTCTTCAAAACAACGTCGTTTTGATACTAGTGTCATGTCATAACACTGTTAAAAAGTTAACGACAGTGAACAAAATGATTCAATCTATAAAGTTCAGTGAGCAAAATAGAAGAAATGAAAGTATGGTGAGTAAAATAGGAGAGAGAATAAAATTCAGTGAGAAACAATGGAATTTAACCTTGTTTTTATTAAACACTAGCAGTAGTTTTCGAAAGCCTTTTATTTTCCATATGGATATAAAATATACACATGGATTTGAAAAGGTCATCGTATAAAATAGCTCAATTGTATCTATGAAGATCTTTTTGATCCTTACTAACGTAGATGATGATGGGTTTTCTTCTTCTTATAATCCGAAATCTCCTTGTATACAAAGTTGGTTTTTTTAGTTGGAAATCTCCTTATATTTAAAGTAAAATTTAATAGAGAAAACTAACCGACATAGATTGATATTGATGGGTTAGGTGGCATGCATCAATGGTATGGTG